ATTTTGTTTATTTAGACTTCAGTGTTTTTCTTGATCCTTACAGAGGTGAGGGGATGAGGCCTGCAGACCCTTGTGGGCCTCTGGTAAGAATGGAGAGGCTCAGGGAAGGGAGGAGGGCTGAGAGTCCTGAATCAGCAGGGAGGGAAGGGACCCTCCCCTCCACTCTATGTCTGTCTTGCATTCATGCCTATTTGCAGAGAGCTCCGGCCTGAGCCCCACTACCCAGTGCCTTCGAGTACCCCATGAAAACTCAAGGTACATGTTCCCTCTGTCACCTCAGGAAGGCCTTCACCAGAGGGACTCAGGAGACCTGACCTCACTCTTACATGACTCCCTTGATATCCAAAGAAGCTTCTGGAACATCCTCCAGACCTCTACCCTTCCTGAGCCCAAGTCTCTCTTCCCTGGATCTCTGTTTGAGTTACTTGGAGTGAGATTTCTGGGCGCATAACTTGTCGAGCCCATCCAACACAGCTTTCAGGATGTCCACTTGAGGACTCTGCATGAGGGCACCCAGTGGGAGGAATTCAAAGGGCCAGACCCTCACCGTGGCCTTCAGGATGACCAAGAGCCACCTGTTGAAGGCCTCTACCAAGAGCGCAGGGAACATCTCTCTGGGAAGCTGGTCCAGACTCAGGATGGCCAAGGCCTCATTATCCAGCAGGCTCTTCTGTGCCAAGTGCAGGAGTCTCGGTGGGGTCATGCTGCTCATCCTGCTGAGTGCTCAGTGACAACCCTGGGAAAACATGCAAGGAGAAAAGACCTTTCAGGAGAGCTCCCAGCAAGCCCTGAGTCACCCAGTCAAGGACCCCATCTCAGACTGTCGCCACGGAAGTGCAGGTCTCCTGAGTCACCCCAATTGTCCTCTGGGCCTCTTGACCACACTTCACACTTCAACGCCAGGTTCTTCTGCAAGACTCTGGAAGTGCCAAGCTCTTGGTTTCTGGGTGGTGGTTGTGAGGAGTGGCGCATCAGGAGGCTCTAGCTGGATGGAATGATGAGAATGAGGGGAGTGGTCCACGGGAGAGCATGGAGACTCCTCACCTCACAGCGGCCTGAGGCAAGGCAGGGAGAGCTGCGCTGCTGGTTGGCTGGACAGGCAGCACTGTGTCAGCCCTTGTCCAGACTGAAGGCCACTGATCCTGGCAGGTGCAGGCTCCTGAGGATACCACAGAGTCACCAGCCTGGGTAAGGGCTTGGATCCCCAGTGTCAAGGCAGCTGCCACCTGTGCAGCTTTAGCTTGAAGAGTAATGGTACTTGGACCAGGTGCCATATCATAGCGGATAAAGTTCTCACCTTGAATGCGCTGGGAATCCATGTGAGCACCAGTTCTAATGCCACTGGGCCTGCTTCCCATCCATTTGGGGAGTGAATCATCGAACGGAAGACCTTCTTCTCTGTCTCTCCTCTCTGTATATCCGCCTTTCCAATAAAAAAAATAATAAAATAAAATAAAAATAAATCTTTAAAAAAAAAAAAATAAAAGCTTCCTGCTTGTGGTCTGAGAAAGCAGTCGAGGACGGCCCAAAGCCTTTGGACCCTGATCCCGTGTGAGAGACCCAGAAGAGGCTCCTGGCTTCTGGCTTTGGATCAGTGCAGCTCTGGCTGTTGCAGCTGCTTGGGGAGTTAACCATGGATGGAAGATTGAGGAGTCCACCATGGAGGGAGGGTTGGGAAAGGGATGGGGGAATCCCAGTGCCTATAGAGAACTGTGTCACATAATACAATGTAATTAAAATATATATATAATAAAAAAATAAGTAATAAAAAAAAGATTTTCCTCTCTGTCTCTCCTCCTGTATGTATATACAATTTTCCAATAAAAATAAATCTTTTCAAAACAAAGAAAGCCATATATGCAAAGAGGAGGAGAGACAGGAAGATCTTCTGCCAACTGATTCACGCCCCACGTGACATCAATGTCCAGAGCTGAGCTGATCCAAAACCAGGAGACAGATGTTTGCATAGGTCTGCCATGCAGATGCAGCGCCCCAAGGCTTTAGGTCATCCTCGACAGTTTTCCCAGGCCACAAGCAAGGACCCGGATGGGAAGTGGGGGACTCATGTGGGATTCAGGTGCATGCAAAGCAAGGACTTCCCAATTAGGCTACCACTTTGGGCTGTAGAAACTTTTTCTTACTGACTTCCCTCCTAGTCTTCTATGGACGAGTCCGCGTGATTCACTGCCTGTGCTCTGATGGGGAGAAAAGATAGTCCTTGGCCTTTCAGGGCTTAAGAATTAGTATTGCAGCCCAACATGGTAGCCCTGCAGCTAAAGTCCTTGCCTTGCTGTCACTGGGATCCCATCTAGGTGATGCTTCTAATCATGGGTGACCTTCCTCCCATCCTGCTCCCTGCTTGTGGGCTGGGAGAGCAGTGAAGGACAGCCTAAAGCCTTGGGACCCTACCCTTCCTGGAAGACCAGGACAAAGCTCACACACCTGGTGTTGGATCAGCTCTGCTTCTGCTGTTACTGCCAATGGGGGGAATGAATCAATGCACTGAAGATTCCTCTGTGTTTCCCCTCCTGTCTGTTTATCTGACTTTCCAATAAAGGTAAATAAAACTTATAAAAAAGGAAGATTGGTAACCACTTACTGAAACATATTTAACATGCATGTAATGGGTGTTGTATCACATCCTCCACACAACATGGCAATGAATCGAAAAATGTTTTTACCTACACCCCTACAGTAGCTTCCTACCTTTTTTTAAATTATTATATTTTTTACAATCTTTACATAGTGATTATGGTGAAAAGATACAAGGGCTACAGGAAAGTTTGTAAGACTATTATTTCCATATTGTTTCCTTCATATATCTGAGGTAAAGGAGCTATTGAGGCAGAAGCCCCACCCAGTTTAATTCCCGCCCCAGGTCCCGGATGTGGGGGATGCTTCGAGATTCTTGCTCAAGTGGTTTTGATGTGAATCACTGCCAGTCTCACCACTCCAAGCACCATGAGGTTTGAAGAATCCATTGATTGACATAGTCCATCATAGAGTCTCCATTTCCTAGTATTTCGCTGCTAACATATAGCTGAGGTGGTTGATTATCCTGTTCTGTCTTCCATCTTGTTCGTTAGGGTTCTGAGTCCAGCATTTCAATTGGGGAGATCCCCAAATAAACTTTGAGGTGTTCCCAGAGCATATTCCTGTATGTACTAGCAGCACAAGGCCTGGCACAGTCCATCACCCTGATCAGTTGGTGGTTGAGATCACTGGCTTGGTTCTGTTTTCAGCCCCAACTTCCACTGGAACCAATGCGTGTTGCAGTCCAGCCTGGTTCTGCTTGGCACAACTTGGCCCTCACATAAACCAGTTGCATCCTATTGGGAGCCTCCCACAATAAACCCCACCAGGCCCGCTGCTACCCTGGTTTGCCAGTATGTGTAACAGCCTAGTCCAGTCTGTCCCACATCTCATTTGGCTCTTGTACTTGTCGATGGATATTGAAGCTTAGTTCCAGCTAACCAGCTCAACTATACAGCCCTTATAGATGTTGTTGAGTGCTTCTCTGCCTAGCCACCCCAGCCCCGGTCCTGGTTTTTGTGCCCTCCCGTGGAAGTGGTAACCCAAGAGGGATGAGCCCACTCTTTCCCTCCCAGGTCTCTCCCACTCCCGGATTATGCACTCTCCAGGTGGTTCTGTGGTTTGACTTGACAGAACTAGCCCCAAGTGCCAGCTTCTGCCAGCTGATGCTGAGGCTAAGCCCAAACTACCCTCACCCACTCTAATTCTATTTGCACCTGTAGGAATAATCTGTCCAGCCTGGCTTTTCCCTGATCTAGTCCACATGTGAGGCGCACATGTGAGGCGCATCCTGCTTAGTTTGGTCTGCCCCCGTCCCAGCTCATGCTCTCCAGTGGGAGTAGCTGTCTAGCAAGGGAACCAACCTTTATTCCCCTGCCGGCTCTGCCCCCTCCCTTCCTGGTTCTCAGGCATGCTGGATGGGTGCTGCAGTCACATCCGGTACAGGCAACCTCACCCTGGCTTTCCATATTGTGGACTGGGTTTGTTGCGACCGAATCTGGCTCGACCCACATCCTGTCCTGGTGCTCAGACTTTCCAGTGGATGACGTGAAATGATTCAGCCTGGTCTTCCCTCAACCCATGCCAAGTGTATGCCAGTGGGAAACTTTCCATGGCCTGTTCTGTGCTGATTCCTATCATGTTTCTTGCGCTTACCTGCAGGGTCTGTCTTTTGCCATCAAAGTTGCCCAGGCTCTCCTAGGGGAACCTCTACCAGCGTCAGATTTTGCCCATACCACGGAGTCCATGAGACAACATTACTAGGTTCACCTCCTGTCCCAATAGGATTTCTTAATTTCAGTTAAATTTTAAGTATATTTTAAAATTTGATTCTCAAGGTAACTGTTGGAACTTGTCTGCAAGTTAAAGCACTGCTTGTAATGCCCACATGCCCCCTCAGTGCCCGCGGTGGAGTCCCACCTGTTTCCAATGGAACTTCCTGCTGGGGCACCTGGGAAAGAGAGACTTAAGGCCCAAGTGCTTGGAGCCCTAAGACCAGCTTGATGAAGACTGGAGTGGGACCTGGCGCTCAGCAAATCTGTCTCTTCCTCTCTGCCACTGTGCCTTTCCAAAAGTGTGTCTGAGTGGATTGGCAGTGTGGGCCACCTGGCATGAGCAATTCTGTTTCTTTAGGGCCTTGAATGACAGCCAGACTGGTTCCTTCAAGTGTGAGGGCATTTGCAGGCTGCCTCACTAGTCCTCACCATGGTGGCATAGTACAGATGCACCCCAGACCCATTACAGCCACCTCAGGGCCTGAGGACTGTCAGAGTGTCAGGTGAGGCTGATGTGTGAAGTGTGATCAAGAGGCACAGAGGACAATTGGCGTGACTCAGCAGTCCTGTACTCCCATGGCAGAAGTCTGAGATGGGGTCCTACACTTGGTGATTCAGGGCTTGCTGGAGCTCTCCTGAAGGGTCTTTTCTCTCTGGATGTTTCCCCAGGGTTGTCACTGAGCACTCAGCAGGATGAGCAGCATGACCCCACCGAGACTCCTGCACTTGGCACAGAAGAGCCTGCTGGATAATGAGGCCTTGGCCATCCTGAGTCTGGACCAGCTTCCCAGAGAGATGTTCCCTGCGCTCTTGGTGGAGGCCTTCAACAGGTGGCTCTTGGACATCCTGAGGGCCATGGTGAGGGTCTGGCCCTTTGAAGTCCTCCCGCTGGGCGCCCTCATGAAGAATCCTCAAGTGGACATCCTGAAAGCTGTGTTGGATGGACTCGATATGAAGTACACCCAGAAGTCTGACTGCAGGTAACTGACACAGAGATCCATTAAAGAGAGTTGGCTTCAGGAAGGGTAGAGGTCTGGAGGATGTTCCAGAAGCTTCTTTGGAGAGCAAGGGAGTCATGAAAGAGAGGTCAGGTCCCCTGAGTCCCTCTGGGAAAGGGCTTCCTGAGGTGACAGAGGGAACATGTACCTTGAGTTTTCATGGGGTACTTGAAGGCACTGGGTAGTGGGGCTCAGGCCGGAGCTCTCTGCAAATAGGCATGAATGAAAGACAGACATAGAGGAGAGAGGATGCTCCCTTCCCTCCCTGCTGACTCAGGGCTCTCAGCCCTCCTCCCCTCCCTGAGCCTCTGCATCCTTACCAGAGGCCCACAAGGGTCTGCAGGCCCCATCCCCTCACCTCTGCAAGGATCACGAAATATATCAATGCAAAATAATCAAATAGACAAATAAATCAAAGAAGAAAGCCAGCAGCAGGGGTGTGAGGTGCAGGCTCTCCAGCTCAGAAGTCCCCTCTGCCTACTCTCTGAGTCTTCCCTGTTTGACCCCCAGGAGAGGGAAGCTGCACGTGCTGGATTTACGGGACGCTGGTCTGAATTTCTGGAATGTGTGGGCCGAGAGCCTGGATGATGCCTGCTCTTCAGAGCCTAATATGAGGAGACAGCCAGTGGAGCACAAGGGAGCCAAATCAGCCTTGAAGGTCATAGCCAACCTCTACCTCGCCGAAGTCACCCCTGATGAGTTCCTCACCCACCTGCTTCAGTGGGTGAAGGAGAGAGCCAGCCTGGTGCACCTGTGCTGTCACCAGCTGAATATCTCAGTAAATAGCATCCACAGGATGAGCAATATCCTGGACATTCTGGAGCTAGGCTGCATCCAGGAGGTACAAGTGAACTCTGACTGGCGACTCCCCACCCTGGCCAAATTTGCTCCCTACCTGGGCCAGATGAGCAGCCTTCACAAGTTGTCTGCCTTCCACCTCTCTTTCCCAACCCCCATCTCCCTAGAGGGCAAGGTTTACTTCAACACCCAGTATAACTCCGAGCTACCCAAGCTGCCCCACCTTCAAAGCCTTCATATGAACTCTGTTGACTTCCTGGAGGACAACCTGGACCAAGTGTTCAGGTGAGAGACCAAGGCAAGCTGGTTTGCAAGGGCAGAGTGGGCTTTGATCGTGGGGTAGCCACCAGCTGCAAGCCAGTGAGCCAGGCGTGAGGCTTCCTACTTCATGCTGAGCCTGATTACAGAAGAGGGCTCCATGTGGACATATAGCTTAGACAGGAAGCTAGCAGCCTGGCGGAGGGAGCAGGTTCTGATCTTAAGGGTAAGTTTGCAAATTTGTCAAGAAGTGTGTATGAAAACATAGGTCAGAGAATTGAGTACCTTAAAATGTCAACTGTCCACTCAGCACCTGTGTGGACAGGGTGAGCCTGTGTCTGAGGCCTGGAGCCCCAGGGAGGTGTGTGACCTGTGAGAAATGCATGTGAAAGGTGACAGATGGTCCTGGGACCCAGGGCTGTGAGTGAGGCCTTTTGGAAGGGCACACACTGGGCTGATGCTACAGCTGGCCAGCCCAGGCCTCTTTCCGTGTCTCCCTCTAGGCAAAAATAGGCCAGACAAGTGATATTCTGCCTTGCAGATGAGGAAAGGTACCTTGAGAGGTTTTGTGAACTTGACCCAGTCCCTCCAGTGGCAGTGGGAGGACTCAGCCTGAGAGTGGTTAACTAGAAGGACGGGTCTACACTCGGGCCGGAGCAAACTGGGTGTTGGTGAGGGTGGGTGTGAGTGGGATCTGGGGCTTTGGGGCTTGGCCCAAACAGATGTCTCTCACCTTGGTGTCATCATGAAGGATTCATTCTTGGTGTCTCCCCAGGTGCTTGAAACGCCCCCTGGAGACTCTGTAACGGGCTCCCTGCTCACAGAAGTGAATGTCAGCTCTCTGTCCCAGTGTCCAAAACTCAGCGAACTCAAACACCTGCACCTGAGTGGTGTCAAACTGACCCACATCAGCTCTGAGCCCCTCCGAGTTCTGCTGGAGAGAGTGGCAGCCACCCTCATGACCCTGGACTTGATGGACTGTGACATCACTGACTCACAGCTCAATGCCATCCTGCCTGCCCTGAGCCAGTGCTACCAGCTCACCAGCTTAAGCTTTTATGGGAACAGAATCTCCATGGCCATGATGGAGAAGCTCATGGAGCACACAGGCAACCTCAGTGCTCTGAGAGTAGAGCTGTACCCAGCTCCCCTGGATTGTTATGACACTCATGGCGTTGCCAAGCGGGGGAGGTTTTTCCCATCTCTGTACAGAGCTGATGGGCATCCTTGAAAGGATAAGAGAGCCTAAGAAAGTTGAGTTTCGCACAGACACCTGCTGGAAGTGTGCACAACCGGTGTTTGGCAGTAATCACCATAATTGGTGTGACTGCTACCTGCTGTACTAATTGGGTAGACATGTCAAGATCTTCTTTCCAGATTTTTCCATGGAAGACCTGGGATGAGTGTATTTCAGATGGGCTTAGACTCTAGCTGCAACGAGAAGGGGCAAAGCAGCCTGGGAAGCAGGAGTTGTTAGGCTCAGGGTTGGCCGGAGTGGAAGGGTTGCTGAGAAAGTTGGAATGGGATGATCTGGCCAGAGGTCAGGTTGCTCTTGTGTTTTCATGTGGAGTAGGCTATCTATTGCATTCCATGCTCTGTCATCAACATTACCATTGTCCTCAGTGACAACAAATAAAGCATCATAACACCAATCTCAAGTTGTGCATCTGGTAAACCTCCAGGATGATCCCCCGCTGGGAGTCTTCAGTGGCACAACACGCCTGGATGTCTTTGCTGCAGTGCCAGTGCCAGTGCAGAGAGAGTGAGTCCAGGCAAGGAGACCCTGAGGTCTATGAACACAGCTGACACCTCAGGGCTGGCCTCCCTTTGACCAGATCAAACAAAGCAGGCCTCACTCAGCCTCAGACCCAGGCCACCTGGGTGCAGCTGCACTGCTCCAAAGGAAACACTGGCCCCTGTTTGGCAAGGAGGGTCTATGAGGAGCAGAGGCCCCCACAGGTGCCCATCCTGCACTGCTCCTCCCTGCCTTGCAACTGCCAGCCATCAGTCCCCTGGGCAGCTCAGGAATGCAGCTAGCCTGGCTCCTGGCTCCTTGTTCCACAAGATGCAATCAACAAGGCTTTTCCTTGCCTGTTCTGGTGGGAGGCTCCCTACGATTTTAGGCCAGCAGACCTGGTCTGGGTTCCACAGCAACTCCTCCAGCAGTTTTTTGGGTGTTTGAGAACATTAGTTAGCTACAAAATTCGCAGATGTTTTTAGACATTTATTAATTTGTTTGAAGTACAGACATCGCAAACGAGAAAAACTGAGGGACAGATCTTCCATTTGCTGGTTCACTCCCTAAGCAGGTATTGTGGGTCTATGTCAGTTCAATGCTAGAAACCCCGAGATCCCGCTGGGTCTTTCCTGTGCGTGCATGTGCCCAAACACTTGAACCTCCTTGCACTGCTTTCCCAGACACTTCAGCAGGCATCTGAAGAGGAAAAACTGCCAGTTGAATCAGTACCCATTTGTGCCGCTGGCATTGGAGGAGAGAGCAACAGGTCTTCCACCTGCTGATTCATTCCTCGAACGGCCAGGAGCCAGAGCTTCATCCGGATCTTCTCTGTTTGTGCAGGGGTCCAAGTGCATGGGACATCAGTTACGTCACAGGCACGTTCTCAGGGAACTGGAGCAGCTGGGCATTAAACCAAGGCCCATAGGGGCTATTGGTGTTGCAGACAACAGCTTAACTTGCTGGGCCACGACACTGCAGTCTCCCCTAGTAGCTTTTTTTTTTCTTTTGGTAATTATTTTATTTTGATAATCTTCACATAGTGGATTAGGGCCAATTTGTTCAAGGGCTACTGGAAAGTGTGTAAGACCATTGTTTCCAAATTATCATTATTAATTTTGTTTTGTTCTAGGGTAAAGGGAAAGATAAAGGGAGCAGCCCCACCCAGGCACCCTCTCATCCCAGGGTCTCTATGTGTGGCAGGCACCAAGGGCATTGCTCAAGTGGCTTTGAGAGTTCAACAATTCTGAATTGTTGGCCATCTTGCCATTCCAAGCATGATGTAATCTCTCTGTAAGAATCTCTGGCTGACATGCCTACCTTAGTGCCCTGGCTCCTGTGCTTGCCAGTATGTACAGCTGACTTGTTCAGTCTGTCCCACATCTCATTCAGCTCACATACATGTGAAAAGGCATTGAAGCCTAGTTCAACTCAACCAGCCCCACTATCCAGCTCACACACATACTGGCTGGCGGGTGCAGTTCTCTTCAGCCAGGTTTGCCCCTGTCCTGGTTTTTGTGCTCTCCAGTGGGAGTGGTAACCCAAGAGGGAGGTGCCCACTATTTTCCTACTAAGCCACTCTCACTCCCGGATCATGCACTCTCCAGGTGATTCTGCAGTTTAACTTGACAGATTTATCCATCATGCTACCTCTTGAATAAACTTAAAAAAAAAAACTTGACAGATTTAGCCCCTAGTGCCAGCCCCTGCCAGCTGATGCTGTGGCAAAGTCCAACTAACCCTCACCCACTCTGATTTATGTTTGTTCACTAGGAACAGTCAGCCCAGCCTGGCTTTTCCCTGATCTAGCTCACCTGAGGCCCACAGGTGTTGTAGCCCTGCCTGGTGTGATCTGCCCCCATTGCAATTCACACTGTCCAGTAGCAGTTGTGTTCCAGCAAGGGAGTCCTCAATGTTCACACTGCCGGCTTTGCCCCCTCCCTTCCTGGTTCTCACATGTGCTGGTTGCCTACTGGGGCCCAGTCTGGCATGGCCCCTTCACCTTGGCATTTGCCCGTGGTGCTGTAGACTGGCCTGGCCTAGGCCACACCCAAGTCCAGCTAACACTGGTGATGGTTACATTCTAGCCCAGACCAGCAGGTACCCAATCCCAGCCAGAATGTGCACCTGTGTGTGTTGTGACCGAACCTGGCCTGACCCACACTGTTTTGGTACTTGTATTCTCCATCAGGTGATGTGAACTGGTTCAGCCTGGTCTGCCCCCGACCTCTACCAAATGTATGCCAGGGTACCATGCCCTGACCTGGTCTGGACTTCTTTCTATCATGGTTGTTGAGCTCACCTGCAGCAACTGAGTCCTAAAAGAGGAGTATCCCAAGATCCTCCATCAGAACCTCTCCCAGTGCCAAATCTCACACATACTGGTAAGTCAATGGGCCAGCCCTACTTAGTCCACCTCCTGTCCTGGCAGGAGCAGTGGCCTTTCCTGACTGGCTTTCAACCCACTCTGATTCTTACTGTTGGATGTTTCAGTCCAGCCAAGGTTTGTTCATACCCAGACACAGCTCACACATGACTCAGTAGGGGCAGAGACCTAGCCTAATCTGTCCTGCATCTACCGTGTTCCTCCAGAGCACCAGAGGGTGCTGGAGTCTAGCCTGGCTCGGTGTACCCAGTCCCAGTCCACACTTGTGCCAAGGGACACTTCAGCCATATTCAGACGAGAACACAGGCCCACTCGGGCCCTAACACTCATCAATGGGAACCTCAACCCAGCCAGTGTGTCCTCTTAGCTGCCCACCAAGCCTGATCCCAGCCATAGATCGTGCACATGCCAGTGGTTGCTCTGACCCAGCTTGGCATAGCCCCTTACTTGTCTTGGACTTTGCCTTAGATGCTGTTGTTGGTCTAACACTCCCTGCTCATGCAGATCAGTAGGTATAAGAGCTTAGCTAGGCATAACCTGAGCTCCAGCATGATTTCTGTTCTTGCTTGTAAGCTAAGACTTGCTCAGCCCTGCCAAGTGTGTCACCTTCCATATCCAACCCACACATTAGCCAGCCTTTGGGGCCACTTTGCCCAGTTTACCCGACCCCCAGGCCTGGACTATGTGATCACCAGTGAGAGTTGTGACCCACTAAGGGAATTTCCTAAGTTCCCCCACTTGACCCACTCCCAGCCCCTGTTCTACATGCCAGTGGGTGTTAGGCCAGTGCCCGGCATAATCTGCTCTTCCATTTTGGCCTTGTATGAGCTGGTGGACGTTGTAGCCCAGCCCAGCCCACAACCTGTCTTAGGATGCACATCCGGATGCTGCCTTGACTTGCCCAGTCTGTTGTTGGTTCCTTTACCAATGAATGATGGCAGGTTCCATGGTCACACTTAGCTCAGCCCACCACCACCCAATTCTTGCGCTAACCAGCAGGATTAGTATTTCCACAGCATTTAACCCACACATCCCCACAATGGGGTCACGAAATTTTCTGACAAGATGGGGACTGAGACCTGGTGGTTTGGAGGGGAGAGTCCATAAGATCTACTTGGGCCAGACTGATTCACCAGCCTAAATGGCAATCCTGAGATGGGCTGTTAGCATAGAGCATCACTGACTGCCACATAGCAGTCCACGCAAAAGCTATGGATGGGGGTCTATCTGGCAGGGCTAGGTACCAGTACCTTATTGGGTGATGTAACAGTGGATAGGTCACACTTGGCAGGGTCAAGACTCTAACCAGCACGTAAGAGAACCATGTGTGGGGGTAGAATCTATGGGGGAAATGTAGGCCCAACCCTGTGGAAATACAAGTCCTGCAAGTTAGCTGGGATGGCAATGGGCTGAGCTAGGTGTGACCATGGAACCAGCCATCACTTACAGGTTAAGGAACTGACAACAATCTGGGAAGGTCAAGGCAGCAGCACCCGAAAGTGCATCCTAAAATAGGATGTGGGGCGGGCCAAGCTGCAACTGGAAGGGGACAGACTGGGCAGGGCCGAGCAAACCTCAACTCACAAGGAAGAACAAAAATCAGGATGGAGCACAGGTCATGCCAAACTAGGCTCTTACACCGACTGGTCTACATGAGTCAAGGATACTAGGCCACAGCATTGAAGGCAAAGGCTGAGACAGGTGAGGGGCTAAGCCAACTGGGTCAGAGCAACCACTGGCACACATGTAATCTAGGGTTGGGTTTAGCTTCAGTTGGGGAGCTAAGGAGTATACCCTTGCTGGGTTGAGGTTCCCATGAGAAAGTGTCGGTGCAGAGTGAGGGCTGTGTTCTGGTCTGGATATGGCTGAAGTGTCCCTTGGCACAAGTGTGGACTGGGACTGGGCACACCTAACAGGGCTAGATGCCAGCACCCTCTGGTGCTCTGGAGGAACACGGTAGATGCAGGACAGATTAGGCTAGGTCTCTGCCCCTACTGAGCCATGTGTGAGCTGTGTCTGGGTATGAACAAACCTTGGCTGAACTGAAACATCCAACAGTAAGAATCAGAGTGGATTGAAGGCCAGCAAAATTGGCTGGCCCATTGACCCACCAGCATGTGCAAGATCTGGCACACAGAGAGGGTCTCATGGAGGAGCTTGGGAAACTCCTCTGTCGGGACACAGTCCCTGCAAGTTAGCTCTGTTAGATTCACCACTGGCCAAAATGTTAGATTCGCCACTCGCCAGGGAAAGAATAACTCAGCCAAATATATGAAAAGAATTTAGATGGCCTTTATTTCAGGGAACCACGGTCAAGGGCTTCCCTTCCCTGTGCAGCAGGAAAGACGGACGTGAAGGAGTGGGCTGCAGAGGAAGAAGAGGGAGGAAGAGATGGGGAAGGGGCTATTTAAACTCTGCTTGATACTTAAGCCAAAACTGGGGTCGCTGTGGCCGATACTGGTGGGGGGACATGGGTCTGTGCCCCTAATTGGTGCAACGGTGGTCTCAATGCCTGAGGGGACCACCAGAATTCCGCCATCCATTCCAGATTTGGTTGGAGGCAAACTCCGCCCTTCTCAGTTACCGTGGTAGCCATCAAGCTCAACAACCAATATAGGGAGCAACCAAGACCAGGCCAAAGAAAGATACCCCCCGGCATACATTTAGCACAGGATGGGGGTTAGACCAGGCTGAACCAGGTCACATCACCTGCTGGCAAAACCAAGCACCAGAACAGAGTGTGGGTCAGGCCAGGTTCAGTCACAAGAAAAACCAGAGCACATTACGGAATCCCAAGGTGAGGTGAGCTGTACCAGATGTGGCCGCAGCGCCCGAACAGCACATGTGAGAACCAGGAAGGGAGCGGGCAAAGCCAGCAGGGCGAACATTGAGGACTTCCTTGCTGGAACACAACTGCTACCGGACAGTGTGAATTGCAATGGGGCAGATCACACCAGGCAGGGCTACAACACCTGTGGGCCTCAGGTGAGCTAGATCAGGGAAAAGCCAGGCTGGGCTGACTGTTCCTAGTGAACAAACATAAATCAGAGTGGGTGAGGGTTGGTTGGACTTTGCCACAGCATCAGCTGGCAGGGGCTGGCACTAGGGGCTAAATCTGTCAAGTTTTTTTTTTTTTTAAGTTTATTCGAGAGGTAGCATGATGGATAAATCTGTCAAGTTAAACTTCAGAATCACCTAGAGAATGCATGATCCGGGAGTGAGAGTGGCTTAGCAGGAAAATAGTGGGCACCTCCCTCTTGGGTTACCACTCCCACTGGAGAGCACAAAAACCAGGACAGGGGCAAACCTGGCTGAAGAGAACTGCACCCGCCAGCCAGTATGTGTGTGAGTTGGATAGTGGGGCTGGTTGAGTTGAACTAGGCTTCAATGCCTTTTCACATGTATGTGAGCTGAATGGGATGTGGGACAGACTGACCAAGTCTGTGGGACATTCTAGCAAGCACAGAAGCCAGGGCTGGGGGTAGGGCTGCTTTGGTTATTTAGAGTTTTCCCAACTAGGCTACAGTTTCCACTGGTTTGCACCAGGGCCGAGTATGAAGTGGGCAGCATGGACTGCAACACTTATCACTTCTCATGGAAGACAGGGCTGGAAACAGAACTGACCAGTAATTGCAACCACCAGCATGTGCATAAGCTGATTGGGATGACAGTGCCCGACCTTGCACTAGCAAGCATACACAAGAATCAGGACTGGGATCAGCTCAGACAAAATTTCTCTAACTGAACTGATTATCTCAGAAGCCCAACCATGAAGAGACTATGTCAGCCAGCAGATTCTGAATAGGTTTAATCGTGCTTGGAACAGTGAGATTGGCAGCAATTCAGAATTGTTCAACAATCAAAACTGCTTGATCAGGACACTAGGAGCATGCCTAATATCAGGGTCTGGGATGGATGGGAGGCTGGGTTGGGCTTCTCCCTTTGTTTCTCCACTTACCCCCGATACAGGGGAAAAAATGATACTAGTGTGGGAAAAAAAAATTTATTTATTTATTCAATTGGAAAGGCAGATTTACAGAGAGAGAGAGGAACAGAGAGGTCGCATTCCTGGACCTCTATGTGTCGCATCCTGATTGGGCTGTGGTTTTCGTCAGAGGAAGCTGATTGGATGAGACACAGAAGGAGTTAGGGGGGGACTGCAAAGCAATGACTCTCAGCCCACACCATGGACTGGGTTTTACGCTTGTGTTGCACATCAGAGAGGAACGGGGACAAGACAAAACGCTGCAGCCCCTGCCTTCACACTGCACCTGTTCCCTCAGGGGCTGACCCTTGCTCAGCCCTGCAGGCAGATGTGTGAATCCTAGAGGAGGTCTGCTTGCAGCTTGAGGTTTCCACAAATAGGCCCCTGCCTAGAGCGCGTCTTCCCCGAGGACACGAGGAGGATTGTTCCTAGGAAGGTCTTCCAGTCCCCGCTCCTGCAAAGCTGCATCTCCAAAGCAGCCAGCCCAGGACAGAAGGAGCATCACTCCTCATGGGTAGCTGCTGTCTGGGCCGTCTGCATCCTCCCCTCTTCCTGCCAGCGGTAACTAACCATCCCTCTTACAAGGCAGAGAGAGATGAGATGTTTTCTTAGACGACTAGTCTTGCTTGCAGGGGGATAGTGGGTACCTCCCTCTTGGGTTACCACTCCTACTGGAGAGCACGAAAACCAAGACGGGGCAGGGGTGGCTAGACAGAAAGGCACCCACTAGCATGTGTGTGGGCTGGATAGTAGGTTGGTACGATTGAACTAGGCTTTAATGCCCATTGACAAGTATGAGAGCTAAATGGGATGTGGGACAGACTGAACAAGTCTGTGGTACATACAGGCATGCATGGGAACCAGGGTAGGGGGGTAGTCCTGGTGGGGTTATGGGGAGTCGCCCCAATTAACCTGCAGCTCCCTCTGGTTTGCGTGAGGACCGAGTATGAAGTGGGTAGGATCAAGCTGGACTACATCACACATTCGTTCAAGTGGAAGACAGGGCTGGAAACAGAACTGACCGGCAATTGAAACGACCAGCATGTGCATAGGCTTATTGGGGCGACAGACTGTGCCAGACCCTGTACTGGCAAATACACAGGAATTAGGCTTGGGATCATCTCAGATGAAGTTTCCTTGGAGATCCGTCAAATAAATTGCTGATCTAAAAACCCCCACCATGAACAGATAATGTCAGCCAGCAGATTCTGAATAGATTTCATCGTGATTGGAACGGCGAGATTGGCAGTAATTCAGAACTGTTGACCTATCAACACTGCTTGATCAGGACCCTCGGAGCATGCCTCACATCGGGGACCTGGGATGGGTGGGAGGCTAGGTGGGGCTTTGCCCTTTGTTTCTCCGCTTACCCCAGATACAGGGAATAAAATGATATTAGTGTGGAAACAATGGTATTACCCACTTTCCTGTAGTCCTTGACCTTTTGTATCTTATTCAGCCAAGTACAATTAATTAAAAAAGTTAACTTTGCAGAGAGCTAATGTTCTCAAACACCCAAAAGACTGCGGGAGGAGTTGCTGTGGAACCCAGACCAGGTCTGCTGGCCTAAAATCATAGGGAGCCTCCCACCAGCACAGGCAGGGAAAAGCCTTGTTGATTGCATCTTGTGGAACAAGGAGCCAGGAGCCAGGCTGGCTGCATTCCTGAGCTGCCCAGGGGACTGATGGCTGGCAGTTGCAAGGCAGGGAGGAGCAGTGCAGGATGGGCACCTGTGGGGGCCTCTGCTCCTCACAGACCCTCCTTGTCACACAGGGGCCAGTGCAGCTGCACCCAGGTGGCCTGGGTCTGAGGCTGAGTGGGGCCTGCTTTGTTTGATCTGGTCAAAGGGAGGCCAGCCCTGAGGTGTCAGCTGTGTTCATAGACCTCAGGGTCTCCTTGCCTGGACTCACTCTCTCTGCACTGGCACTGGCACTGCAGCAAAAAACATCCAGGCGTATTGTGCCACTGAAGACTCCCAGCGGGGGTCATCCTTGAGGTTTACCAGATGCACAACTTGAGATTGGTGTTATGATGCTTTATTTGTTGCCACTGAGGATAATGCAATGTTGATGACAGAGCATGGAATGCAATAGATAGCCTACTCCACATGAAAACACAAGAGCAACCTGAGCTCTGGCCAGATCATCCCATTCCAACTTTCTCAGCAACCCTCCCAACTCAGGCCAACTCCATGGTCCTGGCAAGCCCCACTTCCCAGGCTGCTTTGCCCCTTCTTGCTGCAGCTAGAGTCTAAGCCCATCCTACCCACCCCCATCCCAAGTCCTCAGTGCAAGGGTATGGCAGGAAGATTTGGAAATGTGCACTCTTAGTCCAGCTGGTAGCAGTGGCACTGATTAGGGTGGTTTAGGCCAAACACCATCCGTTCTGCGCACTTCCAGCAGGGGTCAGTGCTAAACAAAACCTGCTTAGGCTCTCTTATCCTTTCCAGGATGCCCATCAGCTCTGTACAGAGATGGGAAAATCTCCCTCCATGGGCAATGCCCTGGGTGTCATAGCTCTCCAGGGGAGCTGGGTACAGCTCATATATCAGCGCACTGAGGTTGCCTGTGTGCTCCACAAGCTTCTCCATCATAGCCATGGAGAGTCTGTTCCCATAAAAGCTTAAGCTGGTGAGCTGGTAGCAGTGGCTCAGGGCAGGCAGGATGGCGTTAAGCTGGGAATCGGTGATCTCACAGCCCATCAAGTCCAGGGTCATGAGGGTGGGTGCCACTCTCTCCAGCAGAACTCGGAGGGGCTCAGGGCTGATGTGGGTCAGTTTGACAACGCGCAGGGCCAGATATTTGATCTCGCTGAGGCATGGGCACTGGGACAGATAGTTGATATCAGCTTCTGAGAGCAGGCAGGCTGTTACAGAGAAGTCCTCCAGGGGGCTCTTCAGGCACCTGGGGAGACACCAAGAATGATTCCTTCATGATGACACCAAGGTGAGAGACATCTGTTTGTGCCAAGCCCCAAAGCCCCAGATCCCACTCATGCCCACCCTCACCAACACCCAGTGTGCTCCAGCCCAGTGCAGACCCATCCTTCTAGTTAACCAGTCTCAGGCTGAGTCCTCCCACTGCCACTGGAGTGACTGGGTCAAGTTCACAAAACCTCTCAAGGTACCTTTCCTCACCTGTCCAGCAGGGTGCCACTTGTCTGGGCTATAAATGGCCAGGGAGAGACATGGATAAAGCTCAGACCCTGGACAGGTACAGCATCAGTCCTGTGAGTGCCCTCCCAGGAGGCCTCACTCACAGCCCCGATTCAGAAAACCACCTGCACTTCTCACAGGTCACACACCTCCCTGGGGCTCCAGGCACCAGACCCAGGCTCACCCTGTGCACACAGGTGCTGAGTGGACAGCTGACATTTTATGGTGTGTAATTCACTGATCTATTTCTTGGGACATACTTCTTGAAGAATCACCAAGCTCACCCTTTAGATCAGAACCTGCTCCCTCCCTCAAGCAGTTACCTCCCTATCTGTGCCTGCTACCTCAGTACTCATGATGAGGATGAAGTAGGAAGCCTTGCTTGTCCCTCAGTAATCCAGGCTTCCTGCTGGTCCAGGAATGAGGCTCCTCTGCCCTCCCAGGACACTTTGCCTTTGTTCCTCACCTGAGCAGTTGATCCAAGTGGTTATACACAAAGTAAAGGGAGCGAATATGAAGGCTGCGAAGGTGAGGCAGCTTGGCAAACTGGGAGGCGAACTGAAAGAGTGACTCCATCATTTCCTCTATTGTAACCAGCAATGAACCGCTTAAGTTAACAAGACTCAATTTGTGAAGGCTGCTCATCCGGCCCAGGTAGGGAGCAAACTTGGCCAGGCCAGAGGGTTGCCAGTCACAGCACACTTCCAACTCCTCGATGCAACCAAACTCCAGACTTTCCAGCATATGGCTCATGCTGCAGATGAGATTCGCCAAGATCTTCAGCTTGTGACAGCACAGGTGCACCAGGCTGGCTCTCTCCTTCACCCACTGAAGCAGGTGGGTGAGGAACGCATCAGGGGTGGTTGCAGTGAGGGAGACATTGGCTATGACCATCAAGGCTGACTTGGGTCCCTTGTGCTCCACTGGCTGTCTCCTCATATTAGGCTCTGAAGAGCAGGCATCATCCATGCTTTTGGCCCACACATTCCAGAAATTCAGACCATCATCCCGTAAATCCAGCACGTGCAGCTTCCCTCTCCTGGGGGTCAAACAGAGAAGACTCAGAGAGTAGGCAGAGGGGACTTCTGAGCTGGGGAGCCCACACCTCACACCCCTGCTGCTGGCTTTCTTCCCCTTTTCTTATTTATTTATATATTTACTCATATAATTTGCCTATAGTCTTTTTCTTCATCCTTGCAGAGGTGAGGGGATGGGGCCTGCAGACCCTTGTGGGCCTCTGGTAAGGATGGAGAGGCTCAGGGAGGGGAGGAAGGCTGAGAGCCCTGAGTCAGCAGGGAGGGAAGGGAGCATCCCCTCCACTCTATGTCTGTCCTTCATTCATGCCTATTTGCAGAGAGCTCCGGCCTGAGCCCCACTACCCAGTGCCTTCAAGTATCCCATGAAAACTCAAGGTACATGTTCCCTCTGTCACCTCAGGAAGCCCTTCCCCAGAGGGACTCAGGAGACCTGACCTCCCTTGCTCTCCAAAGAAGCTTCTGGAACATCCTCCAGACCTCTACCCTTCCTGAGCCCAACTCTCTTTAATGGATCTCTGTGTCAGTTACCTGCAGTCAGACTTCTGGGTGTACTTCATATCGAGTCCATCCAACACAGCTTTCAGGATGTCCACTTGAGGATTCTTCATGAGGGCGCCCAGCGGGAGGACTTCAAAGGGCCAGACCCTCACCATGGCCTTCAGGATGTCCAAGAGCCAACTGTTGAAGGCCTCCACAAAGAGCACAGGGAACATCTCTCTGGGAAGCTGGTCCAGACTAAGGATGGCCAAGGCCTCATTACCCAGCAGGCTCTTCTGTGCCAATTGCAGGAGTCTCGGTGGGGTCATGCTGCTCATCCTGCTGAGTGCTCAGTGACAACCCTGGGGAAACATCCAGAGAGAAAAGACCCTTCAGGAGAGCTCCAGCAAGCCCTGAATCACCAAGTGTAGGACCCCATCTCAGACTTCTGCCATGGGAGTACAGGACTGCTGAGTCACGCCAATTGTCCTCTGGGCCTCTTGATCACACTTCACACATCAGCCTCACCCGACACTCTGACAGTCCTCAGGCCCTGAGGTGGCTGTAATGGGTCTGGGGTGCCTCTGTACTATGCCACCATGGTGAGGACCAGTGAGGCAGCCTGCAAATGCCCTCACACTGGAAGGAACCAGTCTGGCCGTCATTCAAGGCCCCAAAGAAACAGAATTGCTCATGCCAGGTGGCCCACACTGCCAATCCACTCAGACAGACTTTTGAAAAGGCAGAGTGGTAGAGAGGAAGAGACCGTCTTTCCAGGCACTGCTCTGCTCCCCGAATGCCAACAACAGCTGGAGCGATGCCAGGCCAAAGCTGGGAGCCAGCACCCACTCCCGTCCTGATCAAGCTGGCCATAAGGATCCAAGCACTTGGGCCTTAAGCTGCTCTCTCCCAGGTGCCCCAGCAGGAGGCTGACCTGAAGACAGAGGTCCTGAGAGGCACGTGGGCTTCCCAAGCAGTGCTTTAACTTGCAAACAAGCTTCAACACTTGCCTTGAAAATAACATCCTAAAACCTACTAAAATGTAAGTGAACAATAAATAAATAAATACATAAAACGGGGCCCGGCGCGGTGGCGCAAGTGGTTAAGGTCCTCGCCTAGCACGCCCGGGATCCCATATGGGCGCCGGTTCTAATCCCAGCAGCCCCGCTTCCCTTCCAGCTCCCTGCCTGTGGCCTGGGAAAGCAGTCGAGGACGGCCCAAAGCTTCGGGAACCTGCACCCGCGTGGGAGACCCGGAAGAGGCTCCTGGCTTCGGATCGGCATAGTATCGGCCATTGCTCTCACTTGGGGAGTGAATCATCGGACGGAAGATCTTCCTCTCTGTCTCTCCTCTCTGTATATCCGCCTTTCCAATAAAACATAATAAAAATAAATCTTTAAAGAAAAATAAATACATAAAAGGTAAGAAGCTGCTGCCAGGTACATAGTGGATAGTTTTCCACTTAATATCATGTTGTGTGGAGGACCTGAATCAATACCCATAACATGCATGTTTATAAAGTTTAATTCAAACTGATTACCAATCTTGCTTTATTACAATTTTAATTTATGTCTAGTGGAAAGTGAGATAAACAGACAGGGGTTGAAACAGAGAGGAAAATCCTCGGTCCATTGATTCACTCCCAACGTGGCAGCAACAGCGGAAGCAGGGCTGATCCAAAGCCAGGTGTCTGAGCTTCGTCCTGGTATTCCAGGCAGGTGTAGGGTCCCAAGGCTTATAGCTGTCCTCCACTGCTCTCCCAGCCTACAAGCTGGGAGCAGGACAAAGGCAGGACTGCCAGGATAGAACCATTACCTATATGGGATCCTGTTGCCAGCAGCACGGACGTTAGGTGCTAGGCTACTGTGCTGTGCTCCAATACTAATTCTTCAGCCCTAAAAGGCCAAGGACTATCTTTTCTCCCCATCAGAGCATATGCAGTGCATCACGCAGTCTCGTCCATACAGACTAGGAGGGCAGTCTATACGAAAAAATGTCTAAGTCCAGTGCTCTAGTGACAGAAGTTCTTGGCTTTGCTTGCACCTGAATCCCATATGAATGAAACACTTTCCATTCCGGTCCTTACTTCTGGCCTGAGAAAGCTATCGAGGATGGCCTAAAGCCTTGGGATCCTGATCTGCATGGCAGACCTGTGCAAACGCCTGTCTCCTTAAAGGTAGAATTTTTTTTGTAGGAGGAAGACCTTAAAATAGACTAATAGTGCTTCAAGAATAAATCAAACAAAAATGCTACAATAAGTAATTACAAGACTCTAGCCATAGAGTGATTCAGTAACTGAATTCTATAAAGTTGCAGAATATAGCCCAACTACCCAGGTCCCTGCAACTCACGTGCCAGGTTTGAATTCAGCTCTATTCCAGCTGTGCAGGTAGTTAGTGGGCAGTAAGGGGCTGAATATCAGACTGTTTTCTCTGGCTTTCAAATGAAACAATTCATAGTAACAAACAACAACAGTAACCTTGTGTTGACATTCTTGCCTTGCAAACACCAGGATCCCATATGGGCACTGCTCTGTATCCAGGTTGCTCCCCTTCCCATCGAGCTCCTCCCTTGTGGCCTGGGGAAACAGTAGAAGATGGCCCACACCCTTGGGACCCTGAACCTGTGTGAGAGACCCAGAGGAAGCTCCTGGCTCCTGCCTTCAGATCGGCTCAGCTCTGGCCATTGTGAACACATGCATATCCAACTAGTGATTCTTTCTGTGTCTCCTTCTCTCTGTACATCTGCCTTTCCAATAAATACAAATGTTAAGGAAAAATTTTTAAAAATATATCTAATGCTCCAAGACCTACATGTAAGACCAGAAATGAGAAACCCTGGGGAAACAACTCAAGGCATGGGATTAGGCAGCAGTTCCTGGATGAGATCACAACAAGGAGGGCAACAAAATCAAAAATTGACAATGGGACTGGAGAAAGCTGCAAAACGTCACTCAAGGAACTGGAGTGAAGATCATACAAGAAGAGCATTTGCAAACCAAAGAGTTCCTATCCACTATATAACCCTGTGAGACCCAACACTACAACCAAATAATCCAGTTGAAACATGGCCAGGGCACATTCCACCTGCAACACCCTTATCTCATTTGGGGAGTGAACCAGCAAGGACACAAGTCTCTCCCTCCCTCCCTGTAACTGCCTTCCACATGAATGCATCTTTAAAGGAAAAGGAAGAAAAAGGAAGGAGGAAATGACAAGGGAGGGATACTTGGTGATAAACAAGGAAATCTTGTCATTTGTAACCCAGTGGAGACAACTATGACATGGACTTGAGAAGTAAAATGAGCCAGACACAGCAATCAGCTGTGGTGCTTCAGGGAGGTGAGTGCAGGTGTGGGAGAGAGATGATTAGAGGCTGGGAGGGGTGAGGGAGGAGGCTGGGTAGCAGGTGCTAACAGTGAGAGGAGGGAAGGAGTCACAGTGCCCCACGGCATGATGGGAGCCTCAGGTTCAGAGTGAGCCACTCTGTACTTACTCACACAAGAGAAGAGTTCGAGGACTCCAAACACAAAAAATTCTCCTTACCCTGACCAGGCCAGGCAATCCTGTACACACCTGCTCAATTACTACACACTACAACCATACAAATGTGCCCACTCGCTATGGCTTAACCAAAGATTCTCTTTAAAAAAATTTTAAAACTACAAGGTCCAGCTGAGTAGCCTGATGGCTAAATTCCTCACCTTGTACACACCAGGATCCCATATGGACACACATTCTAATCGCTGCGGCCCACTCAATCCTGCTTCTGGCTTGTGCCATGAGAGGGCGGTCAAGGATAGCCCAAAACTGTGGGACCCTATTCCCATGCAGGATACCTAGAAAGGCTCTTGGTTTCTGGCTTCATATATGCACATCTCAGCCTTTGTCACCACTTGGTGGAATTAAATCTCATACTCTCAGTATTTTTGACTTTTTAACAATAATAATCTTTACCAAAAACAATTTTTTTAAATTTTAATTCAAAGTCAATTTTGTCCAGCAGCAGGATGGGCTCCCATCTGCAATACCAGCAAGTCCTCTGATCCACCTGCTGTCAAGGTCCCGGCCGCTCCACTTCCCAGCTGCTCCCTGCTAGTGAGCCTGGGAAGCAGAGGATCGTGGCCCAAGTGCTTAGGAGCCCTGTGCCCACATGGGAAGAAGACTGGGACACAATTCCTGGGCTGCAGGCTTCAGCCTGGCCCGGCCCCACTTGTTGTGGCCACGTGGGGAGGGAACCAGCACATGGATTTCTGTCTCTCTTTCTCACTCACTGGGCCTTTCACAAACATGAACAAATTATTAAGGAATTGGAAAAGCAGAACACAAACTATCTCAGGCGACATATCATAATTAGGCCTAAGATGTCCAACTCTAAGATGGCCCTCCCAGCCCCCACACTCCCAATCACATGCTGAAATCCAGGAGCATCTTGGGACAGTGTTTCACAGAGACCTGTAGCATTAGGGTCAAAGGAAGCCAAGGGAGAAATGGCTCTCACCTTCTGCTGCTGTGTCCTCCCTGGAGATGGAGCCTGGGCCGCTGGGGAGTCCCGTGGAGGCTGGTGACTTCCTGGCTCTGGGCGAAGCTGGGAGGGCACCCTGAGCTCTGGAGGGAGGAGGCACAGGTGTTGGGACCCTTGGCTGTGAGTAGAGCCTTTCCCCAGGTGGGGGCTTTTATTGGGTCTTATAATCTCCTCGTGGTCCCACCTTGCTGCAACACCCATCGCTGCCTCCAATCCCTGGGTGACTCTTCAGGCCTCCTGACCCACCCAGTTGCTCCTCATTGGACCTTGACTCTGTCTGCTTGGATTCTGTCAAGTATGCAGGCAGGAAAGGGAAAGGACTAGGGCAGGGTGGGACTCAAGGACTCCTTGACTTTGACTAATTTGGGGACTTCAGAATCCTGAGAGTGTGGCAAGATTGCTGCTAGGCGATCACGCTGGGCCCAAATTTTTAATTAAAAAAAAATTTTTTTGACCAGACTAAAACAAAGTTACAATAGATTAGATTTACTAGATGTGAAAAATGACTAAAGTTATCAAACCAGTGAGACTTTGAAAATTGAGGGGACTTCAAAAACTCCTGAGGAATAGAGTAGAAAGGAAGTTTGATTGATGTAAAAAGCACGTTGAAGTTCCATTACACACAGTTCTTCAAGAACGCATGGAACATGAATATCAAGAACTCCTCAAGCACAAAGTATAAAAGTTCACACCAAATCAAACTTACCTTTTAATGACTTTTCCATGGACCTTCTGAAGCATACTTGTAGCCTTAATGCTACCTCACTAATAACCACAGGTGACAAGGAACTTGGGTTATTTATGGTAAATTCTT